AGATGCTGAACCCTAAACCCTTAAAACCCTATCCATCACATCCTACGGGCCGCTGGGGGCTCAATCTCGAAGCCGGTGGCTTTCCAGCACGCGTAAGTTAAGTGCTGGAGGACTAGCAGTTCTCAAACTTCTGGGGGTAGGGGGGGGGGGGGGGTAGGGGGTCTTTTGGGGGGTATATGGGGGATATATTGGGATAATGGAGAAGAAAATGGAAACTACTATTTAGGGTTAAGGGTTGTCAACAACCCTAAACCGTAAACCCCTAAACCCAACAACTTCGCTTTGGACCGCTCCAAGAGAAAGCCGATCTCTCTGAGCTTGGCTCCTGACCAACAGCCCTAAGGGTCCAAGGACCCAAATAATACCGTCCCTTTAAAGGGGTTGTAGGGGATACATAGGGATATAAGGGTTTTAGGGTCCAAATACTAGAATATTAATGGTATTTGAAGCCTAAAGCCCTATTATTTGGGTCCTTGGACCCTTCGGGCAGGATACCCTCTACGACGTCAGCGAGGTGTTCTACCTTCAGCTGGCGGACCTAGGCAAATTTTGGCAGTAAAAACCCCAGCCCCTTGCTGTAGCAGTCCTGCCGATATCGTGCTGCCTCTGGGTGATCGTTACACAGCCATTGTAACTCAACCTTTTGCAACAAGATTTGCTGCTGTTGACGTGCTCATGAAAGGCTTCCCAATGACCGAAATACCACGATCTGAATGGTCTCTTGGGGACCTAGACCCTAATATTTGGGTACTTGGACCCTTGGAACCTATAAATCCCTACATATCACATATCCTTACAATGCATATCCCTATAGCCCCCTTGAAAGCAAGAATAAACAGGCCCTACTATGAGAACACTTGGACGCTTAGGGATTTGAATCCCCAACCACCCGAGGCTTCCACTTGGACGAGGCCAGCCTGGCGAGTTTAGGGATGAGGGTTTGGGCTTCAGGGTTTGGGGCTTACCTAAACCCCAAAAGTATGTAAAATAATGGCCCTAAACAAATAATAACAACCATAAAGGCCATTGTTTCACTTACTTTTGGGGTTTAGGTAGGGATTAGGGTTTGGGCTTCAGGGTTTGGGGTTTCAGATCTTTCGATGCTAGTAAGGGCTTCTGAACACTGGAGGGCACTCCCTATCACCATCCCTAAAAGATCCCCTAAAACTCTAAACCCTACGCATGCGCAGTCTTGAAGAGTACCTATGTTTTGAGAAATAACCAGTTGCCAGGATGATGATGTTTGCTAGAGTGCTCTCTGAAACAGAGCTTTGATAATCCAACACACCCAAGTTAGGGCCTAATTATGGCCACGTGCTAGCTATAATAGCCACAAATTCCAGGATTTCTTGGCAGGGTGGAAGAACAAACATTCTCTTAATCGATCTCATGTCTTGCAACAAGAAAATGGTTGAGCTAATGTGTATGGGGCTGTACATGGGCACCCTGTCGCTACCAAAGTTTAGAGTTTAGGGCTTAAAGTTTAAAGTTTTAGGTCCATGGCTCTCACAACACCCCTTATCCTAAATCCAACGCCCGAAGTCCTAAACCCCGGGGAATATTATGAGTGGAGGTGGGAAGTTCAGCGATTCTCGGTTCCTCGAATGCCTCCATCCGTCGGATCTATTTTCCTTAAGGGTCCAGGAAGGTTGAGGGTTTAGGGTTTAGCGGTTCTAGGCCCCAATACTACAATCTGAATGGTATTTGGTCCTTCGTAGAGCGTGGTCATGCCTGTGTGTTGCATAAACCCTAAGTGTCCAAGTACCTAATAATCATATATTTAACCCAAACCTGTACTATAATTACTATTACCTAAACCCTAAGTACCCAATTATTGGGTACATGGACCCTTTAGGGAAACCCTCCCTGAGTTTTACGAGGCATCTCCCAAACCCTGCCAGGCAAGCCGGATCAATGCTGCGCCAAGCATCGTGGGCACAGTACCTCCGAATCGTGAAAATCCATGACTTGCCCTAGAAGCCCAGTTACCTATATATTGAGTTCCTGTCCTTGGGCCCCTATATAATTATACTATCTATAACCCAAGAACCTACTATATGGGTACCTGGGCTTCTAGGGGTGCTTGTGGCTAGTAGGGAATCCGAGAATATATTGGGATTTTGTAGGGATTATATTTCTTTATACCCTGCAGACCCGTCATATGAAGGAGTTTCCAGAAGGCCTGGAACATGGGCCCTGTACTCAGGTCCATAGCACGCTGGAATCTCTGGATCGTTTATGTGTGTCTTTTGGCCTCCCAGTTTTCTTGGACAGTAAATTATCAGCTACATGGCACCTCTATATCACGCTCAGCTCCCTTCCCCTGCCTATTACTGTTTGGTCTAGGGCTTTCCGGTTCAGGGTATGACTTGCGTTTTGCGAAGCTTCTCAGTCCGGATAGTTCTGTCATATGCTCGCACCCGAAGCCCAAGGCCCAACACGGCTTAAAGCCTCGGATTTAGGGTTTGGGGCCTTAGGATTTCAGGATTTAGGGTCTTCAGACTTCAGGATTTAGGGTTTCTCAAGACCAGAATCTTGTTTGCTCTACCAGTTCTTTCATCCTCGACCAGAACTGTGGGGTAAAAAGACTGTACCAGCCTCAGACCCATACTAGGAAGATCATGTTTGATTTTTCTTGGGGCTACACTGCTACATTTACTCGCATAGAAGCTTAAAACAACCATCCCAAGGTGTCAGGAGAAGATTTGAGAAGACTTCGCCATCATTTGCAGCCACTCAACGTGGCATAAGGCAGTACACCTGCATGTGACGATGTGTGCTTTATTCCCTCAAGTCAGAGTTTTCAAGTTGTTAAACCTTAGGCCCTGTTCCCTGAGTCCTAAATCCTGAACCTGAAGCTCTAAAACTAGGTAGGTTCGATTGCGCCCTGCCTCCAAAAAACTTTTAGAGCTTGTCAACACTGAACACAAGCCGCCTTCGGAATTAGGGATCAAACCGACACGCACTCAAAATAAACCCTCAAACCCATCCTGGAGCACCCTAAACCCTATCTATTCTAAGCTCGGATCCCTGTACATCCCTCTGCCTGCTGCTTAGTAGGGCAGAGGGGAGAAGGCCTTGGCATATGGGGACCATAGGGTTTAGGGTTTAGGGGCTGTATTTAGCACTCCTAAACCCTAAACCCTATACTACAAGCGCCAGCTAGATGTTTGACCACATGACTCTACATCGGTCAACCCAGGCAGCGTCATGAGAGTAGTGTTTTTTGGTGATTAAACCTAGTAAGATAAAGATCTTTAAAAAAAAAATACTATGCCCCAAAAGGAGGACATAATCTTACTCTATATTGGGTACCATAGTATCCCCAAATAAAATACTACTCATGAGGGTTTAGGGTTTAGCTACTAGGGCTGGGTGGCAGACTACTCCGCCTTGGCTGTTGCATGCTTCTTCCCATGGGGGATACAACGAAGGTGAAAAATAGTTTAACAGCCACTATGGACCATAGCTGTAGATGTAACCTGGCCCCTGACGTCTTACACCCTAAAGCCCTAAACCCTAAACCCCTCAACCCTAAACCCCAAAACCCTAAACCTTATTCCATGACTGTCACTGGCCGGCTGGCGAGGAAATCTTAAAAAATAACGTTCAACCGATCCTAACCCCATTTTGCGTACAGTTTGGGGTCTACGGTTTAGGGTTTAGACAGTTCCACGTGTAATGCCTATATACTCGGTTCCCCAGTAACCTAAGACTGAAAAGGTATGGCTTATGTCTCTAAAGAACTTAGGACCCCAACAACGCGCAGAACAAGCGTCCAGGTATTCTAAGAATAGTTTCCTAAGGGTCCAAGTACCCAAACACCGGGGCTTTAGGCCCCAAAGGCAGAATTCGAATGGTATTTGGGACCCAGATTTGAACAGTACTTGGACCCTCTAGAGATACTTTGGGCCCACAAGTACCAAACGCGTTCCAGTATAGGTACTCTGGACACAAACCACTCACTGGCAAGTAACTTGTGCCCAAACTATCCCAAAACCCTGAACAGCAACCCTTGCGGCACCAAGCATCTCCATTACAATGCTTGGTAGTTTCCCCAAATTAGGGTCCGCCAATACAGACCCCCAAATACCATAACCCTGACTATAACCCATCTTTTAAGTACCCCAAAAAAGGACCCCTAATTTTGGGAAACCTTGACTTGGACCCGTTATAGAATCTGATTCGGTGTGGAAGGCACGCTGCTTTGCGACTGGTCCTCGCAAACAAAACGCTCACCTCAAATGCGGTTTAAGGTTTGGGGTCTAGGGTTTAGGTCGGGGGTTTAAGAGGTTTAGGGGGTTAGGGTTGAGGGATGAATTCAGCTACCCAGGAGTCGCCCTTTCTTGTACCACTAAAGAACGGTATATGGCAGGTTTTGGAAATAGGGTAACCCGAATATAGAAACAAAGTATTATAGTCCTTATTATAGGGACCTCCCCAAAAATGGTACCCCTACTCTGGGCGTCTCCATATGGTCCCTAATAATGGGTATTTAGGGTATAATATGGGTGGAGGCACCCACCAAGTAATCGTGACTATGAGGGATAATAGTGATTATATTAGGGTTACCACTATTACAGGGCGGGGAGTCCTACTAGAGTATAATAGTACGTGGAGGATGGTCTGAGGACTGCAGCTACCTAGGGCTTAGGTTTGAGGACGTAACGTTTAGGGCAGAGAATGTGGGATTTCGGTTCAAGGTTTCTTGTGGGTAAGTGCTGCAACGGATACTGCCCTATACAAGTCCGTATATGTATGAAAGACTAGAGCTCATACATGGCAATGCTGCTGTAGGACCCAGGTTAAAAGAGACTCACTTTTTTTGCAATGCGAGCTGACATTACAACAGCTGCCTCTACTTCACCAAAAAAGTGATGGGGGGACCGGGGGGGGTGTATTTTCGAACCCTAAATCCGGGACCCCTGTTATATCCGGGGATTCTGCGAAGCATTCAGGAGTCTAACTTATAGACACAAAGGGATTACTTGGAGAAAAAACCACCACCGACCGGGCTTGAAGCCTTTAGTCACCCTTATGTAGATAGAACATGGGGTACATGGGGATCTTTTTATGATATACCCAAAGCCATATTCTATCTACTCAAGGGGGACTATAAACCCTACACCCCATAGCTTACTAGGTTCATGGGCTACGCAGCTACCGCGTCTATACTGCCCCAGTCGAGGATCCCCGTTAAAGTTTATAACTAACAACTAATGGCCCACTGAAGGGGCGACCTACTGCAGTGGGGTGGTTGGTAGAAGTTGAGAAACAGAGACGTCCCCTACAAGGAGACACTACACGGTTGATGGTTTAAGGCTTCAAGGAAACCCTCTTCCCGAACTTCTACCCTGCTGCAAACTGACATGGAACCCCTGACAGGATTTCTTTCAAGACTATCTCTGATGCTCTTTGTAAGCCTTGAGGGCCATTTAAGTTATTATCTTCAGGGGAGGGTGCAAGTTCTACGGTTGCACAGCAGTGCACCCTGATTCGAAGGTCCAAGCAGACGCGGTTTAGGGTTTAGGGTTTAGATTATTACGTGCGACCCAGGAACCAGATGAGTATGAAGGCCAACTTTGACCAAAGACCTATACCTTAACCCTAAACCCTAAACCCTAACCCCTAAACCCTAAGCCTTAAACCCTAAACCCTAAACCTACATTCATTCTTGAAGCCTGTAGGGTTTAGAGGACACATCCCGTGCTCATCAAGAGCCTCAAGGGTGACCGCAACATATGAAGCTACACGCACGCCTCATGTAGAAGCCTAGATAACTGACCCTAAGCTGAAACCTACACCCCCCAAACGTAAACCCTGGAACGTGAACCCTGAACCCTGAAATGCATGTTCCTCGATTCTGCGGATTTAGAAAACTGGAAATACAGGGTACGCCAAATGGACCTGAAAATGGTGTTGGCGATTACATAGGCCCCTGCAATATCCCAAGAGCAACCTGTTGAAGTTTCAACCCAAGCGCTGCGGCTTAGGCCAAGGTTTAGGAAACTTTTGATGAGAGGATTTTGGTAACCTCAACACCTAGAAAATTAGGACCATGATAGAGGCATGTGATAGCAACGGGGTCCTCAATTCGGGTGTCTGGGTTGCGAAAGCCCTCCTATTAACTTTTGCCATCCGCCTGTCACATAGTAACCCAGGATCACAAACTCAACTTGCAAAGAACCGCAAAGCCACCTCCTGCATCATCTGAGGGCTCGGCTACAAAGTACACAGGATGCCTGCAAGTATGACGCTGACGTCAGATGGGTGGCTGCCCTCCACCTAGACCCTAAACCCTAAACTTTAAACCCTTAACCCTAAACCCTAAACCCTAGACCCTCAACTTTAAACCCTTAACCTTAAACACTCAAACAAACATGGGAGACCATTGAGACCCCCAGGTTGTAGGGTAAGGCAAAACACCCAAATCGACTCCATACACGCGATGAACCTTCTAAACCCTATGAAGCCTAAACCCTAAACCCTGATCAACTCTATAAAACCTGTACACTAGTGACACTAGTGCCATGAAAAAGTTACGGAAAGAAGGGGATCATGGCGAGATTTGAATCAGAGGCCTACCTGGAGTAATTAAGCAATGTGCCCAAAAAAAAACTTACTGATGCTTAGTAGGGAACAGGGGATGATGTTATGTAGGGGTTATATAGGGATTGCATTCCCTTATTCACTATTAAGAACCAGTAAGAAAGGGGCTTGCGTACAACGCATCTTTTCCTCTTGTAAAGGTCTAGGTTACTGTAGGTAGACCCTACTTGAAGGTTCATGTGACTTCATGATTAGGTTTAAGTGGACTTATAACCCTATTGATAGTTGGAATAACTCCTGTATAAGCTCCGTATGGGGAGAAGTGCAAGATGACCCCAGTTAGAAGTAGGTCGGTGGACCCTATTGCAAGGCTGACATCAAAAAGCTCTAGCTGGATGTTCATTCGTCATCCAGCATGTAGATCATCGGGCTCATTCGTGCCGGCCCTTCTAAGTTGAGACCCTTGCATTTTGATCTATAGATATATACATATGTCCATGTTCATTGATACCCTAAACTCTAAAGCCTAAACCCTCATACATTCATTTATATGCACTGATGTACTAAGGTTCCTTCATTCTGCGGAGCTGCCCGCTGAATCCATGCCTGCATGATTGAACGATGCAACTACAAAAAGCTAATGTAGACCCATGATTAATGAACCCCCGCCTTTTAAGGGCCTTATAGGGGTAATATAGAAAATATATAGGATTATATAGGAGTTATATGAAGATAATGGAAAAGAAAATGGAAACTACCAGCCAGGGTTTAGGGTTCCTTAGCATTGGGATCCCGATTTTTATCCCCGTAGAGGAGGAGGTTTATTAGTTACAGGTCTACATGACCGGACCCTGCTGAGTTGCCATCTTGACTGGTACAATCACAAGAAACTCGAAAAACCTGTCGGAAAGCCAGGCAAAACCTAGGACCATTTATCAACCTACATGCGAATTAGACAGGCAACCGCTTCATAACCGTAAGGTAGTGTGGACCTTAACAGTTCTTTGAGAACCAGCACATCACGGGGCGACTCTGGGCCAAGTCAGCACATGGAACTCCACAAATTATTGGCGCTTCTTAGCAATGGCTAACGCTGATTTTCTTAGACCTCACGCTTCAGGGCGTCGGCTTCCTAAGGCGCAGACCTGGAGCCCAATCCCAAAGTCCCCCGGTAAGCAAGATATCCAAGGTTCAGAACGTCGGCCCTAGTATGCCCTAGAATCCCTGTAAAAGGTCTAAGGGCCCGTATTAGGAGCCTATACTTCTAACCTTAGGTTGTATGAACAGTAGCAGATATAAGAACTTATCACAAATGACCTTTTAAATCTGGGAAGGGTACACTTCTCGGCCCCAAATAACTTATGACTTAGCAGCCTTCTATATGCGCATATGTACACGAGGGAAGGTCAAACGTACTTGTTTGGCCTCTATTTGTTTTTGAGTTAGGGCGTCCCCTATCGATCTCCAGGTTTGGGCGCACTTCGCACAACCCTGACCTAGCTAACAAGTCAGCCTATCGTTTTAGGACGTCCCCCATCGATCTTGGCAATTCACCATAAGGGTCCAGGTACCTAATAATCATATACTTACCCAAAATCTGTACTACAGATATTATTGGCCTAAACCTACGTGTCTAATTATTGGGTGCTTAGACCCTTTGGGTTATGCACAACAACTGCGGACTACACTAAATGAAGTAAACTGCAGCTCTGGCCTCTGCTCATATGAGCTATAGTCTAAACTCCTAGCATCCCCCTTAATAAGCCCTATAACACCCTCCCCTGTATAATACCCCATATAACCCCCTTTCAGGAGTTTAGACTCTAGCTCAGACATGTATACAATACATGTGTACAAATATGGACTCTTTCACAATACCAGCTTCTGTGTCTTTCGGAGCACTGGATGCTGATGAGAAGTTCTTGAACTCTGAACCCTTTTAACCCTTAATGCAACTCAGCCCGGCACCGCCAACTTGCCGCCAACTCTAAACGCGAAACCCTAGACCCTTAAGGGCAACCCCCTAACCCTAAGACTCTGAACCCTAAACCCCAAACTCGGCACCTTCAAACCCAGAAACTCAACCCTAAAGCCTGAATCTCTAATTACAAAACAAAAAACAAACCCTAAATTCACAATGCCAAGCCCTAAACAAGCTCTTGACCCAAAGCTCTGCACCCCACACGCCGACGCCTGGACCCCAAGCCCGCAATCTGTCCCTGAGGGTCCAAGTACTCAGTGGGTTTAGGGTTTGGGGTTTGGGGTTTAGGGTTTAGGGTTTGGGGTTTGGGGCTGTTGCAAATACCCAAATCGCAAGGCCTGTAACATTGGTGGCCGGGACCTTCAGAGCTGCCTACCCTAAACCCAAAACCGTGCTCAAATCCGGCATATTCCCAAAGGGTCCATGTAGGAATATGGTATATACTTAAGGCCCAAAGGCGTTCCCATATACCTACTTTAAGGCCCAAGTATATACCATATAACTACATGGACCCTTTGGGATTAGCCTATCTAGCGCCATCTGAGGTTCCGAGGACTCAAAGAACAGAGATGTATGCACTTCCCAAATACCGACAATCTGTATGGTCTTGTAGAACCTAAACCCTGATATTGGGTACTTGGAGCCTTAAACCCCTTTTTAAACCCTACATGTCCATATAACCCCTTTGAAGCCCTAATATTTGAGTCCTTGGACCCTCAGGGCCCTCTAGCCCTAGATCTACGACCCTAAACGCTAAACCCTAAGCCTTACAAACCCTAGACCCTAACCCTAAAGCCTAAGCCTAAACCCAAACCCTAAACTTTATATGAACCCTAAACCCTGAACACTATAAACCCCAAACCCTACACCCTAAACCCTGTAAATCCTAAACCCCTATGAGCTGCCTGGCCTCCTGCATGGAGACGCTTCCGGAGGCAACACTGCCTGCGCTGCTCCCACGGCGGCTGCGGCTGCCTGTCAGGTTAGGGTTTACCTCAACCCCCAGAAGTAGGTAGAATAATGGCCCAAATACCTTAAATATAGCCCAAAAAGCCTTTATTCTACATGCTTTGGGGGTTCTGGTAGAGGTTAAGGTTTATAAGGTTTAGGGTGTAGGATTTAAGGAAGAGGGTTACAGGTTTGCATGGGGCTTAGGACGCGGAAGTTTAGGGTTTAGTATGTTTAGGTTTTCAGGTTTGTATCGTCTCGAAGGGTTATAAGGCTTAGGGGTCATAAGGCTTAGGGTATAAGGTTTAGCGTTCGGGGCATAAGGTCCAGGATGTTTCCCGAGGTTTGCGGAGGTTCGGGCTACCAAACCTCAATTTAGGGTTAAGGGCTTGGCGTTCATAACCCTGGTAGATAAGTGGTGTGTTATCCTCTAGCGCCAGTCAGGTATATTCTGCACAAGGTTGTAACCCTTAAGCCCTGAACCCAATACCCTAAACCTCTGTTTCAGGCATCGTTAAGCGGCAGATTTAGGCACCCAGCACCCCTCGATTACGGCGGTGCAACCTACATGCTCATTGTTTGGGCACAGAACCCTTCAGGTGTATGGCACCCTAAACTCTAAGCCCCAATCCCTGAACGCAAAACCCTAATCCCTAACCCTAAACCCCTAACCCCGAAACCCCAAATCAGGATTGAGGTTGTTGGTTCAGGACTTGCAGTTAGGAGGTGGCAGTGAGGGTCCAAGCCTTCGGGAATCTCTGCGGGGGAGGTACGTTGGTAACTCAAGACACCGAGCCGCCTTCTACTACTGTCGATACTAGAAACCCTGCATGGCCATGGTAGACCATAATACCATAGTTCCCAAAGTAGAAGGTACCTAAGGTCATGCAGGATTTGTAGTATCCACTGCAATGCCACCTGGGAGGTTCCCGCAGTCAGGACTGCTTTGTGCATCATCGGGTTTTTGGTCTATTCTTATGAAGCCATGGTTTTGGGACCTATCCATTCTCTGACATAGATGGGTTTGGAAGTTTGGAACTCTGGTATATCCTGCAGGCTGTAGGACTTAGGGTTTAATGCTTAGGATTAAGGGCTTAAGGTTTAGGTGATTTTTTGGCGGTTCGTAAGGAATGCGGGCGTATAATCCCTATAAATCCCTGTATAGAAATTTCCTCGAATTCCCTACAAAACCCCCAGTGAGGCGATGGATGAAAGGTCAACCCTAAATCCTATAACATATTCCCTAAACCCTAAACCCTGTATAATATGTTGGCTTAAGGTGATGGATGGAGGGTCGAATCGTCTCAGCAAGGCATGCGGCATGCGTGAGACTTTGCATTCCTCAGCCCTCAGGATCCAAGCGCCGAAATAACATGTACTCACAGTTTAGGGTTCAGGGTTGAGAGATTGTGTGAGAGAGAGTGAGAGAGAGAGAGAGAGAGAGAGAGAGAGAGAAAGAATCGACCTGCACGTACTTTGCGTCCTACCACCCACGTCCCTCTCGACATCGCGGGGGGGCTCCGATGGCGTCATCGCCCCCCCTTCGTCACAGAGTTCAAGTAAGGGAAAATAGCTTAGTGAGGCCGGGTAACGAAAACAAGAAGAGAAGAGTGGGTGCACACATTTTGTCCGGCCACCAAAAACACGAGAATGCTGCAGCCAACTTGGTTGATGCGGCTGGGTCGTTGATGGATGTGATGGAACAAAAAGGCGCCAGTTTATGACGGCCATTCTGGTTCGTCGCTACATCGTGGATAGGGGCGAGTCATCTTATCAACACTTTAAAGTTACAGCCGACTGGGCTAATGTGGCCTCACTCTTGTTGAATTTGAGTTATCTAACAGCGTCATTTCTGTTACGGCCACTTGGGTTGATGGGACCCTTTATGACTACTTCATTGATGGATGTGTGTTGCTGACTCAGCGCCAGTTTGTCACGGCCATCTCGGATGTCATGGCTTCTTCGATGATGGATGTCAGTAACTCATTCCACGGCATGCCATCGAAAACACTTCCAATTGCCGCACCTTAGACCATAAGGCGGTAGCTTGAGCAAATTGCTAAAGCCCATGCTGTCTCAACAGTTTTGGCTGCTTGGCCGATGGCTTCATTGCAGCGGAGCGTGTCTGAAGGAAGCGGGGGTTGGCGCTCCGCCGCCAACCAACCCTAAGGGTCCAAGGACTCAAATAGTAGGGCTTTAGGGCCCAAATACCATTCATATTCTAGCATTTGGGCCCTAAAGCCCTACTATTTGGGTCCTTGGACCCTTAGGGCAAGGTTTTGGAAAGCAGCCGGATCAACTCTGCCAGCCGGCCAGCCTAGGGCCTGGCGGAGCAGCAGCGCTTGCCATCTGAGTAGTGTTTTTTTGGTGGTTGAACCTAGTAAGATACTGTTCTCTATATAAAATACTTTACCCCAAAAGGAGGATAAAATCTTACTCTATAACGGTTACCATAGTATCCCTAAATTAATACTACTCATCTAGGGTTCAGGGCTTCAACTTTCAGAGTTCAGGGTTCAGGATCTAAGGTTCAGGGTTTAGGGTTCAAGGCGTAGACGTTGTAAAGGGTACATACCTAAACCCTAAACCCTAAACCCTACTCAGGCCCAAAGTGTGTAAACCCTGTCTGGTCCGTTTGTATGCGAGGTCACCAACATGATCGCTCTCCCATTTTCTCAGAACCCTACCTGGACCCCAAAAGTATGTAAAACAATGGCCTTTATGGCTGTTATTATGGTCTTAAGGCTATTATTTTACATACGTTTGGGGTCCAGGTAAACCTTAAACCCCCAACCTTATATGAAGCGAGGGTACCTTTATGGCACATCCCTAATTCCTAGACCCAAAAGAAGCTTGATTCTAGACTCTAACGACTGAAGTCTAAACCCCCCAAGCACACCTATAAGCCCGGCACACCTATAAGCCTAAACCTCCACACCACAAAACCTAAGCCCCAAACCTCAACACCTCAACCCTCAAACCCACTTAACTCTAATCATGTGGATTGTCAGGCGGTGCCAAAAACGCAAAGTTGGCCTCGTGGTTTTGCTTGCGCCTTCCAGGCACTTTCACGCTCTGAAGCCTGAACTGCCGTTTTGGCTCTAATCCTGGCCCCATTCGCGTGTAGCTTAGGGGTTATACCTAATAAATCGGGCTCTCTAAAACTACTAACTGCAGGGAAATGGATCCACAGGTAAGGTTTAGTGTTTATGGTGTCGCATAGACAACTACATAGGGCTTTAGGGCTTACGCTTCGAACATCTCTAAGATTGCAACGGATGGAGGTCTGCAGTGTTGCTTTTAGGTTTCCGGGACAAATTTTAAGTTCAACGCAAACGTCTATATGGCTTAGGGTTCGGAATCTGGTGTATTGGGTTGACGCCTACATGGCTTAGGGTGAAGAATCTGGTGTAGAGAGTTGGGAGCAGGTGGTTTCGGGCACAAGGCTGCAAGGTTCGCTGACAACACGATGTCACAAGATGCTCGCACTTTCACACTCACTGAACTCCATCATAACTATGAAGAGTACTGTCCTAGCAGAAGACATCTGTGCCGGGATTGCAAGGGTATGAAGCGTACACCATGGAATAAACGTAGGTAAGCAGTAACTACAGTTGAGGCGGAGAACACGCACCATAGGCATAAATCCAAAACCTGTGATATACGTACGAAAACCTTCATATTTATATTAACCAAATACAGCCCCAACCCCCCAATATAAACATTCTTCCCATAAACGAAATTATGTAGGGGAGGGAGAGGTGGGGGCGGGCTGCTTCAATATATATGAAGGAAATATTACCCAGGCCCCAGGTACCTAATTACGTGTACGCTCAAGAGAGGTGAGGGTTCGCAGTCACTTGGAGCTTGGCGAAAAATCTTGACCCTCAACCCCAGACCCTAGACCTAAATATAGCCAAAAGGGCCATTATTCTACATACTTTGTGGAAGTCTAGGCCCTCATCGGCTACCGTCAACCATGTGAGCCCTGGACTAAATTTGTAGTATATCCCTTAATAGGTCCACCCCCAAAAGACCTTACCTAGTCCCCTATAGGTGCCCCCAAGACCCTAGATAGTCACCCATAGGTCCCCACCAACCTAAGTTTAGTCCGTAGCCCAGTTACCTATTTATTGGGTTCCTGTCCTTGGGTCCCTATATAAACTTATACTATCTATAACCCAAGAACCTACTATATGGGTACCTGGGCTTCTAGGGTTAGACCCTAAACCCTAAACCCTAATCCCTAAATGCTAACCC